ATTCAACTTTGGCGCATCGCCACCCTTTTTGTCTTTACTTTCCAACGAGTTCGCTTTGCAAGAGGTAACACGTCTCGATGGCCTGTGATATTGGGGCTATTATGTCGTTTTAGAAATTTTAGTCCTCGTATCATGACCATTTTTTTTGACCGGGAAATAGTGGGGGAAGCCCCACGGTACTTTTCATTAATTTAAAAGGAACTGTACAAAGATTTATAAGGTGTCAATCCATGATTGAAAGGGGCTCGTATCATGACCATTGTTATCATATGTCTATGTTAATCTAGTCTTAGAATATCGATTTAGTTCTATCGGCTGCTTCTCGCTTTAGATTTTCTGCTGGTATCGGCTAAATCGACTTGCTAGATTAGATTAATTTAGACATCTACCATCTTGAAAATCAGTCAACGGCTTGATTGTCTAGATATTGTGTTTCTTTTCATACTTAGTGCTGCATCAATGCATTTTCGACCTAGTAAGTCGTGTTTAGAACCATGATCCATAGCAAGCTTCTTGATCACTAATAGGGGTAGTATCGGGGTTTTAGCCGATCTTACCTAATATACATGTTTCTTTCAGGTGGCAAGCAAGCCATCCATATTGTATTGAGCACTTTGTGCTTGACTGCTTGAAGAAAGAACTGCATTACGCATCTACCCTATCCATCCTATAAAATAACATCCTACTACTAGATATATCACATCCTAGTACAATGAATCTGAATATGTCTTTATCCAGATTCGTTCTATTAAGATATGTCGCGTCCAGTTCTAGATTTGTTTTTTTTAAGATGGATGGAGTAGTTGTTGACGGCTGTTAAGTACCAAGTTAACACCGTCAATACCTGCATAAAACCACATATATAAAACATCCAACATAGTGGTAGGATTTATTTCTAACAATTTCCACGAGTGTTGGTGTATATTTGTACGCAGGTGACGAACCACCAAAGTTGAGACAAAAGATACAAAGAGGAGGTGGTGAATTAAACTTCCATATTCAAGCCTATGGAGTTTTGGACCCACAAACCTAATGAAACACATTCAAATGGGCCAATTGCAAGTACATTTGGGCTGAGGGGTTCTCCACCAAAGCCCACGAGAAAATTCGGAGCAAAACGGGCCAACAAGGGTTTGGCCGAACCACTTGGTTCGGTCGAACCCGTAGCTGCGCCGTTCGGCCCCAAACTTCACAGGCCGGCAATTACCGACTTGCTATGACGGTTTCTACCGACTTTACCTGAATAACCGTCATTAGCTGGACACATGGCACTAGGAGGATGAAGATGCTCATTGGATGCTTGGAGGATCTCCACTCTCTCAACTCACCTCCACACTATAAATACCCCTCTCCTCTCCCTCATTCACACACACCAAAGCATGAGCTGAATTACAAGAGGCTCTAGTGTATTTTATTGTATATTAGAACAGGGAGAGAGTAAAGTAATGGAAGTCGGAGGAATTCCGGAGTTATCGGTAACCCTCTCTTATCTCTTGTACTTTGTTTATTATTCTGCTTTAATAGAAATATCATTCTGAGTAATTAAGGTTTACTTAGTGAGAATTACTTCTTGGTTAGTTCCTAATTAGCATACTGGATCATTGTTCACTATAGTCTATTTATTTATAGTGATTGCTTTAGTGTTTGATCGGCACTAGAGTAGTTATTAATTGCGTAGACGCGGTGTCTGGGTAATTAATTTCCAGTGGTTGCTGCGTATCCCACAGTACGTTTGAGGTGGGTGTAGAGGTGGTGACAGCCCTCAAGAGTACTTAAGTCCTCACTGTCCGGATACGTAGTAGAGCGACATCTGGGAACAGCGGGTTGGCAGTGCCTGAAGTATTGCGTTAGGATTAAACTTAAGCTTTCCCTGGACACTGCTTCTCATTAGGAAATCCTCTCTGCCCTCTGCCCACCTTAGCTTTGTGTCCTTAGATGAACCTGACGAGGAGATAATCACACACGTTCCTTGGATTCGATACCCTTGGAATACTCCGTAGGGGAAGTGCTACATCGGTATATCCGTGCACTTATGGATCTTATCTGTGATCGTAAGAAATACCAACAGTAGTTACACTTACAGTGCTTGATCCAACGGCTTGCGAGCTGCCACACACATCCATGCGGCCATGCGCGGTAACTACTCCCTCCGTTTCATATTATAATATAAGTCGTTTGACTTTTTTTCTAATAAAATTTCTTTAAGTTTAACCAAGTTTATTAAAAAAATATAATAGTGTTTTTAACAGAAACAAATATATTTAATGTTAAATTTAATGAAACAAATTTAATATATTTTAGATGTTGCTAATTTTTTTTTACAAACTTGATCAAACTTAATAAAGTTTGACTAGAAAAAGTCAAATGACGTACTACCTCTGTCAAAAAAAACTATAGTTTTACACCGTTTATGTCTAACGTTTGACCATTCGTTTTATTTGAAAATTTTTTATGGTTAGCATTTTTATTGTTATTAGGTAATAAAACATAAATAATATTTTATGTGTAACTATTTTTGTAAAAAAATATATTTTTTAAATAAGATGGACAATCAAATATTGGATATGGAAACTTATATCAGTATTTAAAATGAGACGAAGACACTGTAATATAAAATATAAAACGGAGCGAGTAGCTCGTACGTGCAGTGCAGTGAATCCTCGTCCTAGCTAGCCATAGTAAAGTACAAGTACGTAGCAAGATGGACTCGCTGTCACCTGCACACTCACCAGGCTGATCACCATAAATAATATTTCCAGCGAGAACCTTGACTGTGGCTTTCAAGGTGATGATCCTCAGACGTACAGTACAGGTCGATCACTTGGAGTTGAGTCGTACCCGTCCATCGACGTCTTCGCAGTTACACCATTAATTGCTCTGTCGCAATTGGACCTCTAATCCACACCATTGAAGAGTGGATCTGTGCTACATCCTGCGCCTAGAGCGCGTCACGGCAATAAGGTGCAAGAGTAGAGCACCAGTGCACGGCTCGCCGCTCGCCGCTCGCTGCTGCCTGTCTCTGTGCCCATTTAATTCGATCCCCCTAGGCTCCTCTAACCTCTTCGCGTCTCTGTGTACACGTCACATTTCCCCTGCTGCACAGCACGACTACTCATCTTTTCAAAACAGATACGGTTTAGGAGGAGCTGAAATTGTACGATTTGGACTACTAAATATAAATTTTGGTGTGCAAAAAACAACCTAGTTTCATATATTTATATTTATGTCCCTATATAAAATCATTTGCCATTCAAATAGCAAACCCGAATCCCAACGAAATTTGAAGGAAGAAGGCAAAACTCTTGCATTTTTCTTTTTTTTTACAGTAACACAACAGGGGAGGCCTCCCTGTTAAAGAGATTTTATTAAAAAAAATTAAAGGTCAAAAAAAGTTACAACGAAAGAGTCCAATCTTTAGCAACATCTCTATTTATTTCATTTAGCCTAAACAAGAGAAGAATGAGGTCTCCCTTGAGGAGTTGCCTCCACGAAGATAATGAAAGAGGTTTATGGAAAAAATAAATCAATTTTTTTTGCTTCCAAATGTTCCATGCATCTGTAAGAAATTGCTCCATAAAACATCTTCGATTATAAATGGCTTTGGCTTCCAATATCATGCTCTGAAGAGCAATGGAGGTATTCCATACTATACCCAATCTGTTCCAGCAATCAACAATCAATTTTTCGTTTTGTTGCATTTTTCTTCAAATTGCAACGAAATGAACAATGAAAAAAAAGAATTATGTAAAAGGAAATCGACACGTAAGCACTCAAAATTTGATTGTATATGTATCTTCCAATAGAGAAGAGAAATGTGGTAATATGGTATGGATGCAATAATTATTCCAATACATATTCCACACCCTAGTGTGCCTACACCCACTTTGAAATTTGAACTTGTGCTCTTTGGGAAATTATAAGAAACATGGTATACATGTAAAGAAGCAGATACTGAGTTTTTATTAAAGTTAAATAAAACAAAGACAATTTTTTTCTAGTACATTTTTTATTTTTAGATACTTTCCATGTAAACATTTTATGGCATGCATTACATGTAGTATATTTATTTAGAATTTTTTTAGTGTGCATTGCATGAGCAAACTGAGAATAAGTATAGCTAGCTAGCTAGAACCATTGTTCACAAAACCATTCGTAAATTAAAACGTGAGTTACAAATCGCTCGTTCAATCAGTCAATTTTTTTAAAAAAACTAATACTAAATTTGAATTTTTTAATATACTTTATTTTAATTCCAGCCGTTCTCACTAGTTCTCCAATGGTTTCAACGAAAAGAAAAAATTAAAGCTAATTAAGGAGATCTGGTAAAGGCTTTTAGAAATCAGAACATTGGCTAAAACTTTGCTACACAATCTCTGTGTTCTAATATACAACGCATTATTGTTTTCCATAAAGTCTACATTTGAAAAAATGGACTAACAATTAAATAAAAATATGTGTTTAGTGCCATGCAAGTAGCATTTTTGTATTTGTATTTGAAAACATTTTTTATGATGTTGATTTTGTAGTAGATGGTAATATATTACGAAAGAGATTAATGATCAAAGTATAATGTTGGAACAATATGAAAGGTTTAATATAAAAGGTTTATTATAAGCCTAGCCACTTATTAGCGACTAAAATAATTTATGGTAAAACTATTATATAAATGTTTTTAGCAACTACCTATGCTTAAAAAATAAACTAAAATTCAAAATTTAACTATGACAGATGAGAATACAAATCATGTGTTGTTTGGTTTGTGCAAGCATATCAAGGGGGAGAAATCAGTTATATACTACCTCTGTGACAGGAAGATCGCAGTTTTGTTTATATATATATAACGTTTGACTGTCCGTTTTATTTGAAAATTTTTTATAATTAGTATTTTTATTGTTATTAGCTAATAAAACATGAACAATACTTTATGTGTACTATTTTTCTTTATTTTTTTATAAATTTTTTAGATAAGATGAATAGTCAAATGCTAAACACGAAAACCCACAGCTGTATTTTAAAATGAGACGGAGATGTAATCGATCACTCCCAATCCATATGTAAGTGACACAGGCATCCCAATGCGCATACTATATGTGGCAAGGCATTCTTGGTGCTGGGCTAGTGGCCCTCTCTGGATTATGTTGGATTTTCAATCCGCTCGGCTTGCGTGATTAAGAGGGCACAAGTGGTCTTCCAAATTTGCATCCCAAAGACAAGGACCTAGCTCCCACCTACAAAAGCGTATACTAGTGTGGACCAAAACCCCTTACCACGGGGCACGGGCCCTCACCAAGTTTCATTCTTCGTACGAAACTACTCCATGAATTCGCATTGCAGGGCTCCAAAAAAAACAAGCGAAATCCTACAGCAGCAGTATTGCTCGCGCTGCACCTCTACTCTAGTCTGCCACCGGCGAAGCGCGCCGCTCGAGCCTTCTCTCCAAAAACCCCTATAAAACCACCGCTTCGCACAGTAAAACCTCCACCTAGTTGGCAGTAAAAAAAGCGCCGCTACCTACACACACAACCGCTCTGCACAAGGGGCCATGGACAACAAGCCGGCGCAAGAACGCCGCGAGACGTGGGTCCCGGGCGCCGTCATCGTCGGCGCGGGCCCGTCGGGGCTCGCCGCGGCGGCGTGCCTCGCGGCGCGGGGCGTTCCGGCGACGGTGCTTGAGCGGTCCGACTCGCTGGCGTCCACGTGGCGCCACCGCATGTACGACCGCCTCGCTCTCCACCTGCCCAAGCGCTTCTGCGAGCTGCCGCTCCTCCCGTTCCCGGAGGAGTACCCGACGTACCCGTCCAAGGACCAGTTCGTGGCGTACATGGAGGCGTACGCCGCGGCGGCGGGCGTCGCGCCGCGCTTCGGCGCCACCGTCGAGGAGGCCGCGTTCGACGCGGCCGTCGGCGCATGGAGGGTGCGTCTCGACGGCGGGGAGGTGCTCATGGCGCGGTGGCTCGTCGTCGCGACGGGGGAGAACGCCGAGCCGCGGGTGCCGGACTTTCCCGGCATGCAGAAGTTCGCCGGGTGTGCCATGCATACTTCCGAGTACAAGTCCGGCGAGCAGTTTGCCGGTAAGAAGGTGTTGGTCGTGGGATGCGGGAATTCTGGCATGGAAGTGAGCTTGGATTTGTGCCGGCATGGCGCGAAGCCCTCCATGGTGGTGCGCAACACGGTAAGAAACTAGTTAAACTGAGCTTATGCTTTAGAACCTATCTATCATGCTCTGTTTTTCCCCTGTTTTTTTTGTCTGTATTTGATTTATCTTTCTGTGTGTCACATCTTATTGTCATTGGACATATTATTGTCATCTTAAATCCGTTTTCATTGTGCATGGCTGTATTGGATCATATTCAGGAAGGAGAAATTAGACCTGTTAACATCTTCCATTCCACACAACTTTATATGTCGGGTGTCTTGTCCTATCAACAGCCGTTTCTTTCTTCCATTTTGCCTCCCCCTGCCCTCCGATAATTACGCGTGTCATTTTCATTACATTATTATGATGACGGGTTACACAAATCTAAGCGCCGTGGTGATGTTTCGTCCAGGTGCATGTCCTACCAAGGGAAATGTTCGGTCTATCCACGTTCGGCATCGCCATGGCGCTGCTGCGATGGCTACCGGTTCAGCTCGTCGACCGGTTCCTTCTCACGGCGGCTCACCTCATCCTCGGTAACACGGGGCAGTTCGGCCTAAGGCGGCCCAAAACAGGGCCCATCGAGCTCAAGAACCTCACCGGCAGGACACCCGTACTGGACGTTGGGACGCTAGACCACATCAAATCCGGCAAAATTAAGGTTAGTGCCAACCATTCAGCTAGCCTAGCTCCTTTCAAGAACCAGTAGTAGAAACTGAGACCAGTCAAACTGTCGAGCTGTACATGTGAGCTGCTGGGCGTCTACTTCCTAATGTGGCACATCAGCTATTCGCACATGCAGCATGTACATTTCTCTTGTGGAAAATGGTTCTCATATGGAGATTCATTTATTTTATCCCTGTGGGTTTTCTCCTGTGCTTTGATTGATGAGGCGCTGATGGGAATCATGCATCACTAGGTAGTGGGAGCAGTGAAGGAGATGACGAGGCAAGGGGTCAGGTTCACGGATGGCAAGGAGGAGCAATTCGACACAATAATCCTCGCCACAGGCTACAGGAGCAACGTGCCATCTTGGCTCAAGGTAAAGCAGAGTGTGACTCACTCTTGTTCGTTTTATTTTTCTTTCTGTCCGCACTGCACTATACTACTACTAGTGATATATATCTCGAGATGATACGGATTATATGGTCAACTGTCAAGCCCAAGGATGTTAATTATATGTCTATATGTACGTGTGCTTTATGTGTTGTAGGATGCCGGTGACTTGTTCACGAGGGAGGGCATTTCCAAGGTCCCCTTCCCTAACAGCTGGAGAGGGCGGAATGGTCTCTACACCGTCGGATTCACTCAGCGGGGGCTCCTCGGCACGTCATCGGACGCCCTCAACGTCGCCAAAGACATACATTGCCAATGGAGAGAAAGGGACCGATCTGCTATTAATGTACTTGAAATAAGCAACTCTTCCTTTTGATTTGACTGGAAATGTACAGTGTTTTGATTAGGAATATTGTATTGTGTGCATATAACACCATGTTCTATCTCCCTTTTCAACAAAGACTGATAATCTTGCTCTGCCTTATGTCGATTACTTGCCTATTGAGCATCTTTTGGGCAAACTGTTATTATGACAAGAATTTAGAATTTATATCAATACTCCTTTAAATGGGCGTAATGGTAGCCACCAACTTCCTATTTTCTTTGAAAAGAAAAAAAAATACAGTGTGAAAAAGGAAAAATAATGATTAAGTGGGTTACTAATAATTTTCTTGAATTAAAACCCTGTCGCAATACACGGAAAGACAACATGCTAGTTAGCATACTGTTGTTAACGCCGAATATACTTTTGTGCATATATGGTCAGCGGGTGAAAAGCATCACATATTTGTGCTGATCTGATAAAAACCCATTTAGACAAATATGGTTCTGATCCAACCCATCTTGCTCACCGAGGTTCGGCGTTGGGCCGCAAGCCCACAATCCAGGAGATCTACAACTTTATAATTAATATATTTTTTCATTTCAGATCGTTTAATAATCCAAATATTCCTTACAAAATCTCTAATCTACGTTACAAACGACTTCCAATATAGACAAACTTATACAAATGTTGTAGATCTTGACGAGATCTACAACTTTGTTGTTTACCAGCTTTTATTTAGGCTGTGTTCGGAATCGGACGTTCCCAGCGTGCACAGTAAGTACCGAAAACTTAGCGGTCTATTAGCGCATGATTAATTAAGAATTAGCTATTTTGTTTAAAAAATGGATTAATATAATTTTTTAAGCAACTTTCGTATAGAAACTTTTTGCAAAAAGTATACATTTTAATAGTTTGAAAAGCGTGCGCGCGGAATACGATGGAGAGGGGCTGGGAACCTTCAGTTCCAAACACAGCCTTAAAATTGTTTAGAGTATCAAATAAGCATTATTAGTTTTTTTAGCAATTAAAACCGACAAGAAGATCTAAATGCAAAAAAAAAAAAAACATGTAGAACCCTTCTCACTAGGGGTGGCAGCAGGGCCGGGTTGGACAGAAACGCTCCCCCCTCCTCACATTCCTCCCCACCCCGCATTGCAAACCGGGTAACCCAATGCACCCGAGCCCCTGTGAGGACCCAGCGGGAGAGCAGCCCTCGCATTTGGCGACGTTGACGGCTTGGGGGCTACAGCGAGGAGTCGAACGTTAGAGGCACCGATGACAGCTGAGGGCGGCGAGCCGACGATGAAAGCTCTAGGAGGCGATGACGGATAGAAGCAGGTGAACTTTAGCGCGTCGCCATCTAGTTGGGGATGCAGCAACTGGCGAGACTAAGGGGACAAGGCAAGGTTGGCATGGATGAAGACAATGGAGTCGGGACAGAGTCACGAGATCGGAGAAGACTGCAATTCGCACGGTGACACGGAGCAGAGATGTGTGACGATGTGCGGCGGCTGTGGAATAGGGAACAAAACTCAGGGTTTTTTTTTTCCAATATATCCAAACTCTTTCTCTATTGGGCCTGTTGTGCCAATATGTTATAGGTGGGTTGTGGGCTTAAATTCTCAGAATTGGCTACTTTTAGAAGAGTAATTCACAGCCTTGAGCCCTGTCAGGTCTTCCGTTGGTAACTTAGCATCCCTGCCTTTTTCTTTTCTCCGTTCTTTTATTTTTCGGGGCCCCACCCCCCTGCCCCCACCCCATAAGAGTGGTCCCATCGCGTCCTCAGCCCTAACGAGAAAATTACCATCCCTACTTCTCGCACTCTAGAAGGGTCAATTTTTTTTTAAAAAAACACCCTTCCGAAGGGCGCAAGGGGAATACATATGTAAATTTATAAAAGAGAAAATTATTTGTTAAATATTTTAGCTAAAGAGTAAAAAGAATTCTTCAAGCTCAACCGCATTAACCAGCCGAAAGAACTGACCGCTGAATGGCGACTAACACAAATCATGAGCATTGTCTTGATCATGCAATTTTGTACGCAAAATATTAGTTAGTAGAAAAAACAAAAAAAAGAAGTTGTCGTGCGGTCGTGGCCGCTCACGCACTGGTATGTGGCAACATGTATTTTGGTGCCACAACTCTGGAACAATACATAAAGAAAAAAAACCTGTACCAATTAATGGAACATTGGCGATGATTCTAACTAAGAAAACGTGAGGGCTAACCACAATCGTATTTAGCTTTATTTTTTAAAAATATGTAAGTAGGATGGTGCAAATTAATTACCTTTTGCATTCAAACAATGCGAATTTGCACTAAGACCTTAAAGTTTGATGGACTAGTATACTCTCGCAAGGTTTTCCCCAGATTAGCGGCGAAAACGGGGCGAGTATTTCCCGATCACCCGCTCGACCAGAAAATTATGGGAAGAATATATGGGAGAGAAAATGGGATACCCGATATTTTCAGGTTTAAACCTGAATCCGTAAAAAATATGGGTTAGGATACGAGAAAAGTTTGATCCGCCTGTATGTTCTATATTATAAAACATATGTGAAAATCTATTATAAATTCACCTATAAACATGATAAAAGATTAGTTAATCACTATTTTTATGATCTTACGTGTAATATTATATACTTTGTTCCTTGATGTATCTTTTTTTAACACTTTAATTGCATTCTTATAGTAAATATCTATTGAATTAGATATACAAATAAATATCCGTTCCCGAATCAGATTTGAAGAAAAAATTAATATGGGATATAATACAGGATGAGTGATATATTATTCAACATTACCTGTACCCGGTTCCGAAATTAAAGGAAGATATGGGAATGCTATGATCTGCTCGTACCAGGCCCGTTTTCACCCCTACCCCAGATGAAATGTTCTACTTTTTTAAGTTTTTTTATCCGTACTCCATAAAAGACAATGCATCATTTGCAATGGTGACTATGTAGATATATAGACTTGATAATCTTAAAAAAAGTAAATTTCATAAAACCCTACCTACATAATGGATTTTGGCGGTTATAAGACAGCGCTACTTCGGATAGATAATGGATATATAGACTTGATATCTATCCATTATCTATTCAGGTTGCACACAATCACATATATTTTTGCTATGTGGCACATAACCTCAGATATTAGGGTATGTTTCACAAAACCAAACTATTGATCTTTTTAACTTTTATCTACCATATTTTTAAGTTTTACAATCACATCTTAAAATTTATGGGCATTGTATCCATCATATAAATCCTACACCCACTTTTTAAAAATTTTGATATAAGAGTACGTCAAAAGTGTTAACGGTTTGGTTTTTATGAAACTTTAGTATCATAATACCCAAAGTTACGTGACACGTGATTGGATCATAATAGGTGGGGTTTTATTAAATTTACTCAAAAAATTATTTGCAATGGTAACAATACCAGTAATAGAATTAATCTAAATCATCATAAACATATATTGTCAATACATTTTTCTATAGAGAAGTATTTGAATTTTGACATATTGTAAACTATACAGAGAAATTAGGAGCAGATCTAGCATGGAGGCGGCGGGGTCTCGAGCCCCTACTACTATCACAAGTATCATGGGAGTTTCCATGGATCCCCACTAAAACTTTTTGTTATATAGATGGAAAGGGGGAGGTAGTTTTATTTAGTTTTATTTGGTTTCCTACAGATAGCACATACGGTACTGCCTGGCAGTGGTAAAAAAGGTCCGGCTAATGGACAAAGTCTCGTAACTCCCGCGAGGAAAAAACACAAAATCGTTTGCATGGATTGCCGAACTTCCCCGACCTTGCAGCACACGAGTGGAAGCACGCCCGGGAGACATCCTCCGGACGTGCTGGCTTCATCTCAACCGCCAACTCCAGTTCCCCGACGTGCATGTCGACAGCCATGGCTTCACGCAGCCGCTGAGGCAGGGACACGCCTTCTCGCGACATGGCGACGTTCAGGTCGACCGCTGACAACTTGTCCACGCAGAAGGCCGGCACCTCACCCCATCGGCCGACCACGACGCGGTTGTAGTACAGCGCTACGTCGGCGGCCTGCAGAATCGCCGTACGTCCTTGCGGTTGTCCACGTGGACGGTGAGTTGGAGGCCGGCGAGGAGATGGTCGTCGGGCCGCGCAGCGGGTCGAGCCCCTCGACGCCAGTGAGCTGAACGGTGAAACGGGGAGGAAATAAGTTCATCTGAGGTCCCTAAACTTATCCACGAATTCGATTTTCATCCTTCAAAAAAAAAAACAGATACAACGGGTCCCTCAACTATGAAAATCGATACTAAGTCCCTCGGCGGTTTGGACGGCGGTTTTCACTGACGTGGTGCCTACGTGGCTAATTTGACTCAATCTTCATCTGACGTGGCATTTCGATCCGAAAAAATATTAAACCCTGTGGGACCTACATGTTAGTTTCACACAATTAATTAAAAAATAGAGGCCCCACATAGGCCCCGCATGTCATTCTTACCCCTACCTCCTCTTTCTCCTCCATCCCCATCTCCCCTCTCCGGCCACGGTCACAGCGGTGCAGGGGACAACGACCTCAAGAAGGCAGACAAGGCCGGTCTTGACTCTTGACGCCCTTCCCATGTCCTCCGCCACTCACCTCGGCGGTACGCTCGGCCGGTGGAGAGAAGAAGCGCAGTGGAGGTGGCCCAAGCGGTGAGAGTGGAGATCGGAGGGAGTTGGGGGCGCCGCCGGCAGATTGCTACCGCTCTGCCCCACCGGCTTCGCGCGCCGCCACCGCCCCACTCCACCCCGTCGCTCTGCCGGGCTCCCCGACGGCTGCGCCCGCTGCGCACCAGAAGACGACGATGACGAGGCTGGCGCCCTCCGCTTGGCTCCACAGCCCCGCTGGCTTTGGACGCCGCCCAAAACAATGGCGTTAATCATGTTAGGATTCCACATTCAGAGAGTGAGCTGGAGCACAACATTGATTTTTGTGCAGAGATCGATGGATCGATTGATTCTGTCGCCAACGACTCCACCAATTCTGTCCAGGGTAAGAGCAGGTACAATAGCATATTATTAACCAGCTATAAATATATTTTAATGAGATGATGAGCTGCAGACCAATCTGTTTATTGACAACCACAAAACTAAAGGAGTTGTTTTGCAGATAATGAACTTGAAAACC